GTGAACCACCTTGAATTCAGGCACAGGGCCTTCCTCCAGATCTTCATTGGAGTTGGAGTTGTCCTCATGAACTGCATTGTTGTCAGAACCCTCCAAACCACTCTTTTCTTCATCCTTGTGTCCATTTGATCCATATGTCAACCTTAAGTCAAAATCCAGTACTCCATTTCTCAGTCATGCATCTATGAACAATAAAGAGCAAAGAAAACAAAAGAAGAATAATAGTGCACAGAGAAAAAACAAATCAAAATGTGGAAATTTTTGCAAGATCCCACCTCAATTAACCAACTCTATACAGCCTATCGCCTCTAGTAGGCTTTTTCTGACGTTTTATTTCTTGTACACCAAAATTTGGAGCGTCCAGAATAATAACTTTGGTTTAAGAGTCACAACGAAGAAATGAAAACTCATGAGAGCAATATGCTGAAGGCTATTCCCGTTTTAGTCTCGTTATTTCCCTCAGAATTTTCCAGCCTCAGGTAAATATTAAATAGCTTTAATGCATCTTTAAACTTGATTACCATTTCCCCCTAAATAAATCATAAGGAAAAACCTGGGAATGATTCTTACATTGAGTGCTGTTTGTAAGGAACACTCTCACTCTTGGACCGTCTTTTTAATGGTGAGTTGCTGATGGACATATGCCTAATGAACTGAAGCTGCATGTACCAGAAAACAAACATTAGCATAATAAGAAGAACATTGCTATTGCAAATTGAAGCACGAAATAACATCACTTGGCTAAATTGCATAATAAGAAGTTAATTAATGTGGACAACAGCATACATAAAAGGGCCGAACTGTGGACCAAACATAAATGCAACAATATGTAAGCTAGGGTATGCTTAATTCACTATCATTCAAATAGAAGCATGAGTTCTAATTAATTATACTGTGTAGCATGTCTGTGTGTATCTCAACCCCCTTTAAGGTTATTTTATTTCAAATCTTCATCAAAGATCTCAAAAAACAAGGCTAAAAATGGAATGGTATACAAGTTGATCATCATGCTTGTGTTCCTAATTAGTTATATCATATATGTCAGAATATCAGTGTTTCCATCTAGCCTTCATTCAATCAGGTACATATGTTACACACATATGCCCCTAAGAGAAAGCAATCAGAAACAATAAAACAATGAGTTGGAACAATGTGTTCCTTGCACCATCGGAGTTCGAACTTTGAACGCACGTACGATTCTTCTAACATTTCAACAAATGGAGTCATCAATACCATAAATTTGGTTAAAAGTGATACAGAAGTCATCCATAAACTCTTGTAAAATTGCAGCAATCCAAGAAAGTATACTGTATACTAGATAAGTTCATTAACAAATTTGATATTTTCAAAATTGAAAATGTGGCACATACTTGATCTCCATCCTTGATTCCAAAGTTCCGAATGTACGCCTTCTCATTGGTTAGCTTCTGACCTACATAGCACAAGCAGAAATGCCCCCAAACTAGTGACCTGAGAGCCAATCAAATAGGCTTACATGAGAGAAACAATTTTAAGCACCAAAGAAAGCATATTACAAATAATTTTATAAGACATTTTACCATGGAATCTTGCCTTCCAACAAACCAAAAACCTCTTCTACTGCTTGTTTAAGCTCTGCTATTGTAGCAGTCCTCCCAACATGAATTTCTGTAGAATTGAAATCTCATTAACTCTACAAACAACCCAAATAATAGCAATTCCTAT